CCCGCCCCCCCCCCTCTGGCTCGCGACCGTGGCGGGCGTGTTGCCCGCATGCAGGGTCGCGCCGCCCGAAAGAGCCGCCCTTTGCTGGACAACGAGAACGGTGCTCCATTATCACGTGCGAGGGGCGCGACATAGACGAGCGCGGGCCCGATCTTCACAGCTCCTCGATGCCGGAGTCCTCGCTGTCGGAGGTGAGCCCCTCCAGCGCGGCGTCCAGATCGAAGGCCGGCTCGAAGTCCCCGACCTCCAGACGATCCGGGCGGACAAACATGCCGTACTTCGGCAGGCAGGTGAAGTAGCGCTGGCCGTCGACGCTGTGGGAGGGAGGGAAAAACACGGTCCCCACACCCGGAGAGAGAGAGAGAGAGAGAGAGAGAGAAAGCGATGATTAGGACAGCGTGCGAGAGGACCGCATTTCCCCTGGAACCGGGGCGCAGATGAGAGGGGGGGGGGAAGATGCGGGCGGATGAAGATCGGCAAAAAGGGGAGCCCGCAGTGCCCGAGCCGCGTACCTTCCGTCATTCTTGCCGAAGGGCAGGTCCAGCTTGACGCCGACCCAGGTCCCGGGGGCGAAGGCCACCTCGCCAACGAAGGCCACCTCGCCGCGCTGCTTGGCGGACTCCTGCGTGGTGACCTCGCAGCGGGCACCGACGGTGATGCCTCGGGCCAGCTCGGTCCGCTGGCCTTCCAGGACCTGCTGTGCCTCCTGCTGCTGTCGGGCCTCGTCGCTGTACTTGCCGAGCTTCATGCGCTTCATGTAGGCACGCACCGACCCGGTCAGCCGGTCGTACTCCTCCTCGGAGAGGGTGACATACTCGTAGTTCCGGTGGAGTGAGGGGATGGTGAACTCGCCATAGAGGCTGTCGGGGTTGGTGTCAACAACCTGGGGCGGATCCGGGCAAAGGACGGGCGGCAGGAGGGCGAGGAGAAGGGAGAGAGAGAGAGAGAGAGAGACAGAGAGATGTGAGTCGTGAATGTGAGACAGGGGGGGGGGGGACGCACATGGAGAATCATCCAATCCGCCGGCGAGTAGTAGCCCAGCGGCCGGGTGTCGTCGCCGAGCAGGACCGAGTCGGTGGTCTTGGAGTCGGCCGCCTGGCCGGGCTTGCGCTCCGGCACCAGGTACAGGGCCATGTCGCTGGGCTTCGAGCCAACAACCAGCTCGAGGCGCTCCTGCCGGTGGGCGGGGCAGAGAGAAGAGAGATCTCAGGTCAGGATGGCCAGCGACAACTGTGCCCAGGGCAGGCGAGCGTCTGTGGACACACACACACGCATATAAGCATATACGCACCTTGAGACGACCAATGGTCATGGACAGGTCGAAGCGATGCTCACCGATCTGAGTCATCGCCTCCTTGCTGGAGGAGATGAAGAGAGAGACGGACATGGTTGGAGATGCGAAAGAGACAGAGAGAGGGGGGGGGGAGGGAGCGGAGGATGGCTGGCTGCCCGGCCTCCTGGTGCCGTACACACCAACCTGCCAGCCCAAGTGCTGCGCTTGCCCCCGAGACCCGACAAGTGGCGCGATCGAGCCCGCCACAGGCACCCCCCCCCCCCACACACACACACACACACACATACACACACAGTCGCCAGGCAAACACGCGAAAGATCCGCAGGCCCCCCCTCCTTCCCCGCGCCCGGTTCCCGAGCACCAGCCCGCCACACCGCCGTGCCCCCAATGCCCCGCAGAGGCGGGGCGGAGGACAACACTGGCCACGCACGCGCATGGCGGCGCGACCGGAGAGATCTGCACATTCAGAATGGGCGTCGATTGGGCGTCCCAGCGTGCTGGACCAGGGGCCGAGAACAGCGAGCGCCAGACGTGTACGCGCGCGCGCGCGCGCGACAGGGCGCCAGCGCCGCGTCAGAAGAGAAACAGCACCACCAGGAAGAGGCAGAAGCCGGCCACCGCGCCGAGGATGAGGGTCTCGCGCTTTTTCCGCCGCTTGATCTTCTTCAACAGCGCATTGATCCGCGGCAGGCGGCCTGGGTTGCCGGGGGCGTGCGGGCGTCAGTCACCAATGGAGGAACAAGCGGCAGAGGCGAGCGGCAGGGGGGGGGAGGGGACAACGTCAGCCGCGGCAGCGGCACACAGAGCCCGGTGTGCCGGGTGTGCGTACTGTTGATGTTGGCCACACGGCCATGTGCCCGGTTCAGCATTTCGCGCTGGGTGATGAGGGCCTCGTGCGCTTCGTGTGCTTGGCTGCAGGAGGGGAGGAAAAGAAAGGGCCCGCGGAGGATGGTGGCGCGGAGGGCCGCGCGTTAGCACAAAGACAGCCAGACGGGCACACCGGAGGCGCAGATGGCATGACACGCACTCAAGCAGATCCAACGCTTGCTGATTCGACTGATCCAAGTGGTTGAGACCGGTGACCAGGAGCCCGGAGGAGGCGCCGCCGGCCGTGGAACCCGGCTGCCCGGCCGTCCCAGCCAGCAGGCCCGTGCGCTTGGACTTGGCCAGCACCCGGTCCAGGTTCCGCCGGTAGATCATCTCGTACTTGGCCACGCTTTCGCGGTAGCGCCGGAGGAAGACGGCTACCGTGGAGGCGGTCGTCTGGCCGCCGGTCGGGTCCCCACCATCGCCCATGTGGTGCGCCTGGTACTTTTCCATGCTTTCCACGATGCGCCTCAGCTGGGCGGTCGGGGAAGGGGGCGGCCGGCAGAGTTTGTCAGTCGGGCAGCCCATTGCGGAGGCGGCAAGCCTTGGAACGCCATCGCACGGACCTCCGCCAGATACTGCTGAATCTTCACCGGGATGGGTCCCTCGGGGAGGCAGAGCTTCTCCCGCTCCGAATACTGCGTCCCAGGCTGCGACGTGGGGTCCGGCCCGGGGCCAGACTCCAGGTACGACCGCGCCAGAGAGTTGTAGGCATTGATGCTCTGCTCGAGTGAGACCTCGACTCGCCGGGCCTGTGGCGGAGGGGGGGGGG